GGTGTGGTTTTATTTCAGAGTTACATATTCCACACTTGTTCCATACATGAAATATGTACTGTATACTTACTTTGGTCAGACCAATGTAACTATGCAATAAAATCTATACCTGGACTTCAGTTTTAATTCAAAGCATTAAGGTAAACACCCCAGTACATGTGCTACCCCCTGCCCCCAATCAATTACCTACTGTCCTTGTCACCTCTTCTGGCTCCAGGATCGATCAGGAAGGTCCCCGAAATTCCTTATTCTACAATAGACACTGTGGGCATTGTAACAATAGGCTGCTGCTGTCAATCAAACTGCTGGGAGGAGAAAGCAGGGGTGTGGCTTGCTAGGTGCTGCGTGTGTTTATGGACACGCATCTTAGCACAGGTCCAGGATGAGAGCAGGCACTCATTGGTGTCGCCAAAGGAGACACCCAAAAGCAGGGAGGAGGGGGAAACAGTTTTGGGGCCCCCAAGGACAAGCAAAAATGGGCATTTTAAAGGACAATGACTACACAAATTAGGTGAGTTTGGTCCTCAGCTTCTAAATTAGGAAGGGTTTAATATTAATTTAACACCTCGCAAGGCAAATGCAGAGATATGTCCTGTTACAACTTGTAAGACAAAAAAAAAAAAAATGTTCATACTATGAACTACATGTTGAATAACATGTTTTTAACACTTGTTCTGTGTTTTGGCATATTTCTCAAAAACATCATTTGTTCTGTGTCTAGTTAGACCAAAATTTTCCATCTCTGTAAATGGGGAACTGAGTCTCAACAAATTTTAAATTGTTGGTTATTGTTAAAATAAATAGCTTTGTTATTGCTTAACAAGAAGTCTTTTTTCCTGGAAATGTGGAAGTCTGAAAGTTCAGTGGTCATCCTAGACAGCATGTAAAAAAATCAGTTACCAGCATTTTATCTTATTATTGTCTTCTATTAAAAGATCTGTTTTTCCAAAACTGTTATTTTGGATTTGGGGGGGGATTCTTTGAGGCTGCAAGAAGCAGTGGACCTTAGTACTGATAAATTCCTATTTATTTGCTTCAACTGTTAGAGTAGGCTTATAGTCACTATTGGAATTTAAAATGTCATTATTTCCATGATGAAGTTGCTGGGGCAGGCTGAAATAGAAACTCTGTCAGGAAGATGTCTTCACTGGACTTTCCAGATGACTAAAGATGCAAGCTATTAATTTTGTCTACTACCATCCACCCAAATTTTACATTTAGTTTAAATGGTGCTTTTAAATAAAAGTTATATTGTCTGTCTATTTCCACCCTAAACATATTGGTTCAGTTTTGAATGGGTGCTTGCAGTACTTGCTGGCTACTTGAGGACTTGGAAGCAAGATCTCCTCACCTGCTATGGTGGTAGGTACAAGGGGTCTCTGATTCAGTTGTCAGATCCTCCACTTATTCTAGTTTATAGCAAATCCAATGGGGAAAGTGAGAAGCCCTTGCCTAACCCATTATGTCCATGGTTCTTGGAATAACTGACAGATACAGGAACCTTGTGGATGTTTCAGCTATTTATTATCTACTGAAATCAGGGCAATGACACAGGGCTCACCAGTTGTAAATAAGATGTAGGTGCTTGGGGGGGGGGGGGGCATTTCACTGCAAGCCCACCCAACTAATTTGTCAGCACTTAGCCCTACTAGCCAGGTCATTTGTTTAGTTACATCCCATTGGTGACTAGCACAGCTGAAACTTTTGGTCAGGGCACTTGGAGCAAGCTACCCTCTGACATATTTCTCCCAGTAACAAACTCATCAGTTAAACGCTGTTCTTTATAGCTGTGTGAGAGTCCCTCAGCTGCTGTGGACAAATCAGGGCTCTCACATGCCCTTATACTTCTAAAGAGGACAGGTGTAATCCTTAGGCATGCAGGCCAGTTTGGTCAGTGGACTACATGCAGGGCCAGATTTCTCAATAGGCACTGTAGGCATGTGCCTACAGGTGTCCTTCCTAGAGGGGCGCCTATCTGCAGGACTGCCATCAGGGCGGGACAGCCTATGATGCACATGTGTGGGGCCCGGGTGCAGGGTTGCCAAACATCTGTCCATGGGGACAACTGGAGCGTACAGCCAGTGTTGTCATGGCGCTGCTTGGCACCTTTTACAAATAACTAAGGAGGGCTGGAGGGGGTGTGGCCAAGTGCGGCATGAGAGCATCCACTTCACCGGAGCTCCCGTCCCACAGCTGATCCCCTCCCTGGGCCCACAATACCACCTGGATCTGCTGCTCTGTCTTCTGCCAGTAGCTCCTCAGTCCCACTGTGTTCATCAGTGCAGTCTCCTCCCGTCAGCCTGACAGGATGACACTAAAGCAGAATGACGTGGTGCCAGCTCAGCAATGCCACAGAGGACACACCATTCTGAGAAGAGGGACACAGGCACAGTGAGTAAACCAGGCAAGTCTGCAAAACCAGTCTCTGACCATCTCTAGTAGTGTGCCTGCAGTCTCTTACCATCTCTAGTTTCATGCCTGCAATCTCTGATCATCTCTTGTGCCATGTCCACAGTCTCTGACCATCTCTTGTATAATGTACAAAGTCTCTGACCATCTCTTGCACCATGTTTTCAGTCTCTGATCATCCCTTGTGCCATGTCCGCAGTCTCTGATCATCTCTTGTGCCATGTCTGCAGTCTCTGATCATCTCTTGTGCCATGTCTGCAGTCTCTGACCATCTCTTGTGCCATGTCTGCAGTCTCTGACCATCTCTTGTATCATGTACAAAGTTTCTGACCATCTCATGCACCATGTCTGTAGTCTCTGATCATCTCACATATCATGCCTGTTAGTCTCTAACCATCTCTTGTTCAATGTCCGCAGTCTCTGGCAAATCTCTTGTTCCATGTCTGCAGTCTGGCAAATCTCCTATGCCATGTCAGCAGTCTCTGATCATCTCTTGTGCCATGTTTGCAGTATCTGATCATCTCTTGTGCCATGCCAGCAGTCTCTGACCATCTCTTGTGCCATGTCTGCAGTATCTGACCATCTCCTGTGCCATGTCCGCAGTCTCTGACCATCTCTTGTATCATGTACAATGTCTCTAACCATCTCTTGTGCCATGCCAGCAGTCTCTGACCATCTCCTGTGCCATGTCTGCAGTCACTGATCATCTCTTGTGCCATGTCCGCAGTCTCTGACCATCTCTTGTATCATGTACAATGTCTCTGACTATCTCTTGTGCCATGTTTGCAGTCTCTGATCATCTCTTGTGCCATGTCCATAGTCTATGACCATCTCTTGTTTCATGTACAAAGTCTCTGACCATCTCTTGTTTCATGTCCACAGTCTCTGACCATCTCTTGTATCATGTACAAAGTTTCTCACCATATCATGCATCATGTCTGTAGTCTCTGATCATCTCACGTATCATGCCTGTAGTCTCTAACCATCTCTTGTGCCATGTCCACAGTCTCTGGCAAGTAATTTGTGCCATGTCCGCAGTCTCTGGCAAATCTCTTGTGCCATTTCCGCAGTCTCTGACCATCGCTTGTGCCATGTCTGCAGTCTCTGACCATCGCTTGTGCCATGTCTGCAGTCTCTGACCATCTCTTGTATCATGTACAAAGTTTCTGACCATCTCTTGTGCCATGTCTGCAGTCTCTGGCCATCTCTTGTATCATTTACAAAATCTTTGACCATCTCTTGCACCATGTGTGCAGTCTATGATCATCTCTTGTGCCATGTCTGCAGTCTCTGACCATCTCTTGTGCCATGTTTGCAGTTTCTAATCATCTCTTGTATCATTTACAATGTCTCTAACCATCTCTTGTGCCATGCCAACAGTCTCTGATCATCTCCTGTGCCATGTCTGCAGTCTCTGATCATCTCTTGTGCCATGTCTGCAGTCTCTGACCATCTCTTGTATCATATACAATGTCTCTGACCATCTCTTGTGCCATGTCTGCAGTCTCTGATCATCTCTTGTGCCATGTCTGTAGTTTCTGACCATCTCTTGTATCATGTACAAAGTCTCTGACCATTTCATGCGCCATGTCTGCAGTCTCTGATCATCTCAAGTATCATGGCTGTAGTCTCTAACCATCTCTTGTTCCATATCCGCAGTCTCTGGCAAATCACTTGTGCCATGTCCGTAGTCTCTGACCATCTCTTGTATCATGTACAAAATCTTTGACCATCTCTTGCACCATGTCTGCAGTCTCAGACCATCTCTTGGGCCGTGTCCACAGTTTGACTATCTCCTATGCCATGTACACGGTCTCTGACCATCTCTAGCATCATGCCTGCAGTCTCTAACCATCTCTTGTATCACGTCCACTATCTCTGGCTATGTCTTATATCATATCCGCAGTCATGGAGAACTCTGAGGACTCTGGTGTAAGGGGAACTCTGGGGACTCTTATGTAAGGGGGGGGGGCTCTGGTAACCAGAGCCCCTCGCACATCCGAGTACCCCTTTACATCACAGTCTGCAGTGTTCCCCTTTACAACAAAGTCTACAGTGTTCCCTTTTACATCAAAGTCGACAGCATTTCACTTTACACATATAAAAATATTTTATCAAGAAAAAAAGTGGAGGGGGGAGGGGGGGCGCCTCAGAATTCTCTGCCTTTAGTCTTTTGAGATATAAATCCGGCCCTGGCTGCATGTCTAAATGTTGGTACACCCAGAGTGTTTGTGTTGTTATTTTTACAAATGTAGATTAGTAGCCAGCACTCCAGTACCACAGTGTATCTCAAGCTCCCTAAGATCAAACGTAGACTTTCTGAAAAACCTGTATTTGCACGCATTAAAATGCATTGACCGTGAACACTGTATCGTAAAAATCAGGGGAGAGGCTGAACTTTTTGCTCTATATGTGGAAGTTGAGGTTGTCTGACTGCAGTGCAGACGGGATGTGATCAGAAACCGTAAAGTATTAGAGGGTGATTGCTACCCATCAGCTCTATCACTGTGTTATGTTAAAAAGTGTGGCAGGTTTGCTTGAAATATCAGTTTTGGATGGAAAGTAAAATTATCTTGTTTATATCTTTCTAGGAGCTATGTTTATATACCTTGGGTAACCTTATTGTGGAAAGTGAGGCAGCAAGGCACCAGTTACTCTTACAAGGAATTATTCCTGCCTTTGCGGTGTGCATGCAGGTGAGGTGTACTGTATCTATTATTATATCACTTGTTTCCACAATGTGTAATACATGGGACTAAGTAATGCAACAGAATGTATAATCAGTTTTCTATTCTAGTCTCCTCATATGACAGCATTAGAAGCCACTGGATATGCACTTTCTCAGTTATTGCAAGCAAAAGAAGCTCCTCAGAATATAGTTCCGTAAGTTGCCATGTTTGAAACATACCCATATATACAGGAACATGCAGATCTGGGGAACTCTCAAACGTTCAAAGGCCAGATATTAACTAAATGGCAGAAATGTGGGAATAAAGAAAATGCAAAACAGAGTGGGCCTTCAAAAATACATTAATTCCTGTTACGGCCGATTCACATCTTGGCTTACTGGTGTGTTTCATCAAATTGTCCAAAAACCAAATATACACCATTTTTATAATGACAATTATCACAACGGACGCATGGCAGCATTTTACTGTGCCTTGTGTTGCATTGCAGCACATTTGCGTTCCTTTAACCGTTTCAATACCGTGCAATTTTACACCTTCCTGCCCAGGCCATTTTTCAGGTTTCAGCGCTCTCACACTTTGAATGACAATTGCGCGGTCATACAACATTGTACCCAAACTAAAATTTTATCATTTTCTTCACACAACTAGAGCTTTCTTTTGGTGGTATTTAATCACCGCCAGGGTTTTTATTTTTTGCTAAATTAACAAAAAAAGACCAAAAATTTTGAAAAAAAAAAACACATTTTTCTTTGTTTCTGTTATAAAAGCTTACAAATAAATAATTGTTCTTCATAAATTTAGGCCGAGATGTATTCTGCTACATGTCTTTGGTGAAAATAACCCAAATTAGGATGTATTATTTAGTTTGTAGGAAAGTTATAGAGTTCACAAACTATGTGTATATCTGAATATTGATCAATCCTGAAGTACTGACGGCCAATCTAATTTCTTGAGGTCCAAGAATGTCAGAATAGTACAGATATCCCCAAATGACCCCTTTTTGCAGAGTAGACAGTCCGACGTACTTCATAAGAGGCATGGTGAGTTTTTTGAAGTTGTATTTTTTTGTCATAATTTTTCCGAAAATGAAAAAATGAAAAAAATTATTTTCACTATTTTTTTTACATACTGTCACCAGTGCAGTACAGCGTCATCATATAACTGGCATGGCGGTGAACAGGGACACTGACTGGGGACAGTATGGAAAAAAAAAAAAAAAAAAAAAATTTTTTTTTTTTTATTATATTTAACTTTTTACTACATTTTTTTTATTTTTTTTAAGATTTTTTTTCATATTTTACTATGACCAAAATAGTACAATGTTACCATAGTAACACTGTACTACTTTGGGGAAGTGATCAGTATTTTTTTTTTTTTTTTTACACAATTTGCTTATAGCAAAGAATTACTTTGCTATAAGCAAGCATTTACCTGAATGAAATCGATTCATTCAGCTTTTTTTTTTTTTTTTTTTTTTTTTTTTTTTTGTGCTTAGCTGTGATTTGGTTACAGCTAATCACATGACATGTGCATGTGATTAGCTGTGACCATTCACAGCTAGGCACTAGTATACAATGGATGGCATCATGAATGAAGCCATCCATGTATACAACTGTCATGTGACCTGCTGTGATTGGTCCCAGCAGGTCACATGGTACCAGCAACGGGAGCCGGTACTCGGATCTGTCATCGGCCGTGTCCGAGGTGCACGGCCGACGACAGATCGCACTGCTGCGCCGCTCTGCACTAGCGCAAAACGGCGCATGTGCGGGAGCACGCCAAATGGCGTGCACCCGGAATGGAGGAGCACATCTGAAGCCGCCAAACGGCCATTGGCTGGGCGGCTAATGGTTAATGTAATGGGGTTCCAATAAAAATGAACAGCCTTGCAACTCACTGACACATTTGATTAGATGTGTTACAATTATTGTATTAAGTACAACCAAATTTTACATAAGATTTATCTGACAACACAGCATGTAAATACATGACCCAGTATACATACATTAGATTTATCTCAGTAAATACATGCATATTACATACATTCATATGACCCAGTATACATACATTACATTCATATTATACAGGATTTATATAGCGCCAACAGTTTACGCACTTTACAACATAAGGGCAGACAGTACAATTACAATACAAATTAATACAGGAGGATTCTGAGGGCTCTGCTCGTTAGCGCTTACAGTCTAAGATAAATATAATGTAAGCAATAGCCCATGAAATAATAGAAATGCATTCAAAGCAATGTAAATATTTTAAAAGTAAGAGAAAAGATACTAAGATATATTTGCATATAAAAGATCAAATACCAACTAACATAATATTTGCATATAACAGATAAAATACCAATGTGCATTACCTTTCTTGGGAGTTTGTACATGATGGGGTAATGGATAGAAGAGCTCTGGGAAAGAAACTGTATCTCTGTTTGTATGTGACACTTGGAATGTTTGTCAACTTGCACATCAGTAATGCATTTGTTACTGCACACAACAGCGTAAATGGGTCCTTAGTCATTGACCATTCTTATCTAGCTACCAGCATCAGGATTGCAAATATGCTACTTATTTTTCCCCAAGACATTATTCCTTCATTGACCAAAATATTACGAGATGATGCATCATTGCTGCTCACTTACTAGTGAAAAAGATTCTGCAGCATTTGGGCAGGTGAGGAAGTAACACCCATTAGGCCACAAAGTGTTGAACCAACATGATAGAAATCAAGGCCTTGTTCATGTGTTGAGACTTTGACCAATGCAGGCCAAAGCACGTGATGTAATACTCATCTATAACAATAGATGTTGAAATTTGTAGTCACTAATGACTGGGTGGTGACAGTAATCTACACATGCCTTCTCTGGATCCTTTTTTTTGAACAATCGGATGTACAAAGAAAAGGATTTTTACAATTATGTTTTTAGGAACACCAAACCTGCACTAAGAATAGAACGAGTGCTGATCTCACCTTTTAGGCCTAGCCTGTCATATTAATTACTATTAGCATTTTATGTTCTGTCCTGCTAGTTTTATTGCCACTTACTTTTATTTCAACTTTATATCATATCAGGATTGTTTTTGGCGAAATTACTGAATTTGTTACCTTTGTGCAGAACTGTTCTAGAGGCTGGAATAGCACAGGACATACTTAGACTGTTAGCTTCTGATCCTGAAGATGGTTTTGGGATGATGATTGAATTTGCTTGGTGTCTTCATTACATTGTCAGCAGGTATGTGCATCCATTATCATGGTATTCTCCCAGCTACCTAAGCAAAGTTTCTAAAGTTGGCCTAGAATAGAAACAACACCTGTAAATTTCCAAATAATGCTTTTGTTAAATTGCTACTAAAATATCTGCCTGTGTGTCCAGCATCTATACACTGTATACATATATACAGTGGGGAAAATAATTATTTGATCCCCTGCAGATTTTGTAAGTTTGCCCACTTACAAAGAAATGAACGGTCTATATTTTTTTTAATCATAGGTGTATTTTAAATGATAGAGACAGAATATCAACCAAAAATCCAGAAAAAAACACAATATAAAATTGAATAAATTGAGTTGCAGTTCAGTGAGTAAAATAAGTATGTGATTCCCTACCAACTATCAATAATTCTGGCTTCCACAGACTGGCTATGTGCTCATGTGGTACACAGATTAGTCCTGTCAATTTAAGAAGGTGCTCCTAATGATAACTCGTTTTGCGTATAAAAGACACCTGTCAATAGAATCTCGTTCTTCCTCACCACCATGGGCAAGAGCAAAGAGCTGTCAAAGGACATCAGAGACAAGATTGTAGACCTGCACAAGGCTGGAATGGGCTACAAGACCATCAGCAAGAAGCTTGATGAGATGGAGACAACTATTGATGCGATTATTTGCAAATGGAAGAAATAAAAAATAATAATAAATCACCCTCGGTGTGGAGCTCCATGTATGATTTCGCCTCATGGGGTAAGGAAGATCATGAGAAAAGTGAGGGATCAGCCCAGAACTACACAGGAGGAGCTTGTGAATGATCTCAAGGCAGTTGGGACCACAGTCACCAAAGAAACTATTGGTAACACAGTAAGGTCCCCCTCCTCAAGAAGGCACATGTACAGGCCCATCTGAAGTTGGCCAGTGAACATCTAAATAATTTGGAGAAGGAGAGAGAGATTTTCCCTCACTTTCTGTCTTACTAACAATGGTCAGCAAGTCTAATACTGTAGAGATGGTGCATTTCCCTTCAGAGACACAGACAGGGGTTTTAATCCTTTCTATCTATGTAAAAATACAAAGAAAAGCTTGGAGTATACACTTTTGTAAACGCACAACCTTGTAGGACCAGTAATATTGCTAACAATTATCATATATTTCTAACTATAGTCTTGGCTTGGGAAACTGAGCTAACAGATGCACCATGCAGAATTAGAATGAAGGAAAATTGCACCGCTCTGGTGTAAAGGCATTTGTGTATAGATTGATTTTACTCGTAGGTACTGTCTCGCCATTCAGAGTCTCTTCTCTCCTTCATGTTACCAGAACACTCATATGTTATGTTTACCTACCACCCCACTTTTCAGATCTTTTCTGTGCAGTCTGCCTGGTACCACACATCCTCTGCCAGGAATATTCAATGGAAGGCCCGGCTATCAGCTTGTCAGACTGCATGCTGGTTTTCCATTGATGTAAATGGAAGCCATGGCATGCATATTTGAAGATTTCTGAAAGTTTTGAGGCAGAGGCTATGCTGTCTTGGCAGGTTATGTTGAGAAGATCTTAGATGCAGTGTTGTAGTTTAAAAAAACACTTTTCATACGTGATGGAGTAGAGACTTGAAAAATCTACATCTGTTCACATATTCTAAATGTATTCATATGCCCAAAATGGCTTTAATGTTTGTTATTCTAAATTGTTATTCGTATTCTTTATTTTAAATCATTTTTAAGTGAATTAACTCCACTTTGTTTTATTCTGCTTTTAATTATTATTTTTTTTTAACCGTAATGGTAACTAAACATACAGTACATTTTTTGATCGTACATGTTTGTGTGGCACAGTAATACCTTATTAAAGTAAGTATTTTTCTTTTTAAAATGTTTTTTCTCATTTGTCAGCCAGGTAAACAATGGACTGCTGATTTCATTAGGTGTTGTGTCCAAAATGGTACACTTGCTGACAAAACTAGCTGGATTTCTTGCAAACACCAGTTTTCCTGGTTCTGAGCTGGTAAGTTGATCTAAAAATTATAATTTTGTGAAATGAACAGTTCTTGACTTTAATTTGTATTATTGTTATTATGTACAGTATGTCAGCTAGTTCATGACTAATTTGCTATATATGTTAGCTAGCTACTAATCACAACTGTTGTATACAAATGTTGATGTTCCCGCATTGAAAACTTATAGATGAGAGTTACTGCATTAGTCTACATATACTTCACAACAGCACAATGAATATTCCTACTGTGCATGTACCTTTACATGCATTTGTAATTTGAGTGCAGTATATTTGCATCATGTTTCTTAGGCATTATGATTTTTTTTTTTTTAATGAGTTGCATATAAATGCATTTGTGGTGTGTTTACCTGCATTTGATACGTTTACACGTAATAACATTCCGCATACTGTATTTTTTTAATGCACATGAAAGCGCTGCAATGGTAAACTATGTTTATTGCAATACTTTAATTTTTCTTATGTGTTCATACTGCGTTTAAAAATGCATTTGACTGCATCTGGTGTAAATGAGCCTTTGCTCTAGGTTTGTGTTTGTATTTTATTGTATAATATGCATTGTTTTCTATTATGTAAAAACACATTTTGAATGTCAGGTTTTCTTCCTTCACAAAATAGTTGGTTTGCCCCTTAGTACGGTGCTTGGGAAACCTGCTAGCGGAAGTTGATGCTGCAGGCAAGAAAGCTTTGAATCAAGAAGATGGCCGCCTACTTGTGGCGTTGTTTCTCTTCATTCAGCAGTTTCAGAAAGAACATCTCTTTGTGGTTCGGGAATGCCTTTGGACTCTGAATAACATGACAGGTAAACTCAAGGGATAAAGCTTGAGAGGGCTTACGATCTAAAAGGGAGGCACAAGCAATACAATAGGTAATAACTCTGCAGGTATGAGTTGATGAAGAAAATAAAAGTTACGTTTTTCGGTTGAGGAGGCAAAGGCTTTCCAGAAGAGATGAGTTTTCAGGGATCTCAAGGTGGGAAAGGTGGTGAAGAAGCTAGAGAGCAGAAGGTCTTGGGGGAGCAAAGTGGACAGTTTGGGTGATATTTTGAGATGAGGTTGATGATGTACAATAGCTAGAGGCAAGGTTATAAATGGTCTTGTATGCTGTTAGCAATTCAAAGTTTATACCAAGCGAGAGTCAGTGGAGGGATTGGCAGAGATGGGGTGTGGCCACTGAATGGTTCATGAGGTGGATGAGTCCAGCAGCAGCATTCATGATGAGCTGGAGGGGTGGATAACCTGTGTAAATGTAGGCCAGCCAGAAGAGAGTTGCAGTTTTCAAGGTGAGAGATAACCAGGAAGTGAGATACTAGTAGCTTTTTGGTGTCATTTGTAACATGACAACAACTGAATGTTACAGAGGTAAAGACATTGTTATAGGGTAACAATTCATAGGCACAACTAGGAGTTGTCATTCCATAGCAGGAAATGCCTGAAAAAGGGTCTTTATAGCAGGATGACCAGGATGAAAGCTGTATATATATAATATCTCCTATTCCTTCTGTACTGAAATGTATTGTAATTGTACTGTCTCCCGTTATATTGTAAAGCGCTGCGCAAACTGTAGGCGCTATATAAATTCTGTATAATAATAATAATATCTGAAACAACTTTTAAAAAGAAATTAAAGTGTTACTAAACCCAGGGCCCTGCATTCACTATATCTGGTCTCCCACAGTACACACAACATGGAAATACAATTATTTTAGTAGTAATTTAAAACGTGCGTCTTGCCAGGTACAGTGGGGAAATAATTATGTGGTTCAACCCTCACCATGATGGCAGGTTTGAATGGAAGAAAGAGATCCTGTGGACAGGCATCTTCTATACGCATGAGTTGTTGTTAGGAGCACCTTCTTAAATTGACAGGACTAATCTGTGTACCACATGAGCACAGCCAGTCTGTGGAAGCCAGGATTATTGTTGGTTGGTAGGAGATCAAATACTTATTTACTCACTAAACATTTATATCATGTGTTTGTTTTTTCTGGAATTTTGGTTGATATTCTGACTCTATCATTTAAAATACACCTATATAAAAAATTATAGACTCTTCATTTCTTTGTAAGTGGGCAAACGTACAAAATCTGGCGGGGATCAAATCATTATTTTCCCCGCTGTTTAAGGGATCTTGCACGCCTGAGCCCATTCAGCAAAAATGACAACCTCCTGTACCCCCTTGCCAGCAAGGCCGGATCTAGCCAGTATGATGTGGGGGTGCAGTAAAAAATGTCAGGGGGGCACAGGGTATGAGGTCTGCGTTTTTGGCGCCGCATTACTTGAACTGACAATTGCGCGGTCATGAATTATGCACCCAAATGAAATTTATGTCCTTTTTTCCCACGAATTGGGCTTTCTTTCGGTGGTATTTGATTTCCTGTGCTTTTTAATTTTTTTGCGCTATAAAAAAAAAAAGTCTGACAATTTTGAGAAAAAAACAATATTTTTGACTTTTCTTTAAAACATGTCCAAAAAAAAAAAATTAAAATTACGTCATAAATTTATGCCAAAATGTATTCTGCTCCATGTCTTTGCTAAAAAAAAAATAAAAAAATAATAGACTTCACCTCCGCAACATCTCCAAGATACGCCCGTTCTTAACTTCAAAAAGCACTAAGCAACTTATTCACTCCCTTGTTATCTCTCGCCTTGACTATTGTAACTCCCTCCTCATTGGCCTACCTCATCGCAGGCTATCCCCTCTTCAGTCTATCATGAATGCTGCTGCCAGACTCATCCACCTTACTAACCGTTCTGTATCTACCACCCCTCTCTGCCAATCCCTTCACTGGCTTCCCATTGCCCAACGAATAACATTAACAATAATGTAGAAAGCCATTTATAACTCTGCCCCCAATTACATCACCAATCTTGTCTCCAAATATCACCCAAACCATACTCTTGGCTTGGTGTCACTGACATCCCCAGTAACACCAATACAGTGATCAGTGCTAAAAAAAAAAAACACACTGTACTATATAGTAAAGCGCTATAAATCAAATCTAACGTATGTGCAATACTCTCGTGCTATATAATGCTAGCCGTGCCAACACAATAGTGCTCAGTGAGAAAAATTGCAAAAAATTACATTTATAATTATTATTATAAGTGAAAAAACCATTAATGGTATAAGTGAAAAAGTCCAAAAAAATTGTGATAGTGGTTCTTTAAAAGAAGGGGAATAACATCCCGTGCTGGTTTACCAATATCTAATATAAACACACTGTATATGAAAAAAACATTAAATAATCAAAAAACATCTGCGTAATTTGGAACATACATGCAAGTGAAACTGTGCCAACGTGATCTTCACTCCAGTGAAAAAGAAAAAAGATCCTCAAATGGCAGCAATGCCTGCTCACCTCCACCCACTGAGCCGCACAGGGCCAGAAGGCTATAATTATCAATACCAGATCCTCTTAATTCCGCTCCTCATCACAGGGACCGTGGGATTGAATATAGACTTCTCCCCAGTGCATCTTATCCACTCCACCTCCACTTAAGGCCACATACATGAGATACAAAACAAAGATCCTTCCATAGTGCAGTAATCTTTTTTATTTGAAAGTGAATAAACTTGATATTGCACTCACATGTATTCCCAGTAAGAAATGCCTGTCACCACATCCTATGGGTGTACTGCATGGTTACTGGGTGTAGCAATATGGCCGCTGCGTCCGGAAGTGCGTCACCTCGTACCGGAAATGGCATACCGACGCGTTGCGTCACGTACCTCATAATGAAGTCACAGGATGTTATTCCCCTTCTTTTAAAGAACCACTATCACACTTTTTTTGGACTTTTTCACATTTTTAATGGTTTTTTCACTTTATATTTGAATAATTATAACTGTAATTTTTTGCAATTTTTCTCACTGAGCACTATTGTGTTGGCATGGCTAGCATTATATAGCACGAGAGTATTGCACATACGTTAGATTTGATTTATAGCGCTTCACTATATATTTATATTTTGTGTCTACACTTATTGGTTTAAGTTGAGTGGCAGCAGCTATAATTAGATTTGCGTCTTCCATAATAAGCGCAGGAGGATACCCACATTCACTGACACTGTACTAATGGCATTGGGCAGGAAGGGATTAACATGAGGGACAATCAAAGGGTTAACTGTGTGCTGGGAGTGTTTTACTAGGGGGTGGTGTTGTGTGCTTCACTGTAATCACACTGCTCTGGATGGCTGGATCCGGAGATCCTCGGAAATCACCGGGCACCGGCGAGTAATTACCGGCCGGGGCCCGGTGATCGAGAGCCGCGGCCGCAAACGGCAGAGCGGGTGGGGTGTGCACGGCTCGTGTGCGCCTCCTACCCAGAAATGCAAAATCACGTATATATTTATGTGATTTTGCACAGCCATGCCGCCCTGCTATGGGGCGGATGGGATGCGGTTAAACCAGATGTTGAGGAGGTGACACAACACCTCACTGCCTGCCAAATGCTCTCTGAAGAGCGATCTGAATGCAGATTGCTCTTCAGAGACCAATGCTCATGTAAACAGGCCCCTAAAGCCATGCTGGGGATGGGCAAAAAGGTGTTTAAACAGAAGCATCACAAGTGAAAACCCCAGCAGTTTAGCCAACTAGCAGATTGCCAGCTATACGCAGTAGTACTAAAGTTGTCCCTGAGTGTTAACTGGACATGAAGGGGGGGGGTGGGGACAGTTCAGCATTGGGCAGAGCTTAGGTCACTCATCCCTGGCTGGTCTGGTGGCTCAGGCAGTCTTCAATCTTGCAGCCACCATGTAGTTGCCAGCTGTAGAGCTTCAAGTTTCCCACCCACACATCTTCTCAAGTACGGCCCTGGTTGAGAATTGCAGTGTGGGCGGAGCTTACACAAGAAGAGGGGCACATCAATCTCTCCTGTCTGTGCAGGGCAGTGAAGGGGGCGTGTGATGGCTGGGCTGTGTCAGACACAAGATTTGATAGATGCAGCTAGCCCTTGCACACAGCTTCAACTGGGTTGCCTGGGTGGGCACAACTGATATCTGGGAGGGGGAGGGGGCACAGCCCACCCCAGCAGCCCCCTAGATCCGGCCATGCTTGCCAGGCAGCCCAGGTGCTGCATACAGCCTCCCATAGACTCTATATGTATAATGGTACTGTAAGCACAAGTATATCGTATGGTTATTTAAAGAAAAAAAAATAGAACATTTTCTTGAACGGGCTCAGGTGCCCTTGTGCAAGAGGCTTAAAGTGTTACTAAACCCAGGACCCTGCATTCACTATATCTGGTCTCCCACAGTACAGAACATGGAAATGCAATTATTTTAGTAAACAAACTGCTAAATACAATTTCTCATTAGCAGTATATAGCAGTCTTGTGACTTCTATCAGTGTCTAGCCAAGCACTGGTTAATGCTTGTAGGAGGAGTTTTCATTCTCCTCTGACTGTCCTGTGAGGCTTCATTCTCCCCCAAAAAAAGGTCTGTAGCAATACTCACCAAACTGAGTGTGTAGAGTGCCTCCTAGGGCTCTTTACTAGCAGCAGATGGATTGAGGACCGTGGAAGAAGGGGAGGATCAGAGGAGACAGGATGAACATCAATTACAGGACAATTACAGGACAAACATTTTTATACCATGCACAGGATTAACCCCTTAGGTTACACAGTGGGTAACAAGAATGCTTTGCTGCATATACAGACTGATTTTACTGTTGTACATTTAGTAACACTTTAACCTGTTTGCGCCAGCACCTCCCGACCCTTTAAGAGTTTCAAAAGCCTGGAGGCGGGCGGGGTTTTAGGGTCATGTGACCGCCGTGATTTGCCGGTCACATGATCGGAAAAGGTCCCAATTGCAAGGGGAGATCGGGACCTTTCCGTGAGTCACGGACATACGTGCTGGGAGCACGTGGGGCGCGCGCTCTAAGCACATATGTATTTTCTAATGGCACACAAATATGCGGCTGCTCGGTGTCAAGGCCCAGATGCCGAGAGGCCACATATTTGCGTGTGCTCGGTGTCAAGAAGTACCCATCTGAGTAAATAATAATGATAAATTTGCCACAAAAACTGTACACACAGCTGTCATTTGCACTGGATAGCATTCCAATCCAAAATCTCTCTACTATAACCACCTACAAAAAAAAATATTTTTTTTTTTTACAGTAAACAATCCCACCATATGCTCAGCTATGCTTCACTTTAACTTGATTCCAGTTATGCTGCAGTTATTGGGCCATTTGAAGGACATCAATCTGCTGGTAAATCTTAATATTAACATTTTAATCTTATTTATACTGTATGCAAACAGATATTTAAAAGATGATACTTTTACCATTAACTACACTTTCTAGCAATATGCACAAAATGATGGGTCATCTATCTGGTCATTCTTTCTGCTTTATGTGCACATAGTTTTTAGAGTTGTTATGGCAGCTCCAGGCCAGTGTAAGATTGTTTTGTTTACATTGAGTCTGTCTGCATCTGCATTGTAGCTGCTGGCAAAGAAACAAAGACATCTGCTATAAATGATGATTTAATGCTGCACTGCATCCATGTGATGACTGCAGATAATAAACTGCCAGAAGCAGACAGACCCTGTGTAAAACTTGCCATAGATGTATCAACATTTTTCCAGGTTAGGCAGGGGTCAGCTGAATTTTGATCCATCTATGGCGATTCCACACTCTAGAGAAGTTGATCTAATGGTAGACTCTCCAACGGGAATGCTGAACATTTTTCATTCAGTCACCACTGGCAGCCAAATCGGCTGCATCACTGATCAGTGTATTCTGACAGCAGTGGAGTCCCAGTTGTCAGAATAAAAAGCACAGCAGGGAGGATTCCTCCATTCATCTTGCATGTGTGGATGGCGAATTCTGTTGTTTTTTTTTGTTTTTACAATCAGACTGCTGACTGTTCAAAAAAACAAAACAATCCATCTATGGCCAGCCTTAGTTTTGCTGCAGTCTAGAGTTTAGAGAGTACATGTCTGCAGACCACATCAAAGAACAAGGGTGTTACCACAGATTTCTCCTAGATGTGTTTTTTTTGCATAGTTGACTCTGAAATCAGAAGTTATGACTGAGCAGTTGGCAAGGTATTTAAACTGATGCAGGGATTCCCCGCTTCTAGCAGATTGTAGCCTCCATTGATTACTTGAGTGCAGTGAAGCAGAGAAATCATCATCGGTGGCTCATGGCTTTAAAAGCATTGAATCAAACAGGTAGCTAGAGCAGGTGCCTGCCTTATTTGCCTGCTCTCCGGTTGCAGTGCAAACAAGTAACTGTTTGGGTCCCATTCATGCCTGTTCGATAGGCTTTTTGGGAATTGGCATAAGGTAACACATTCACGTGAACAAACGTTAAAGTAGCTTCTGCATCATTTTTTGGCAGTGAGCCTTGCATGCTCTGTGTGTGACAAAATGTGTGTCTGCTAGCCGCGTTTGGGGTGCTATTAAGAAATAATGGCACCGCAAGCACAATGTGCATTTTTAGAAACTCATGCAGAAATGCACATTTCTGTGTGCGTTCCCTAAATGTGAAGGTGGCCTTACACAGGCCCATGAGACGAAAACAGAGCTAAGGCATTGTTTTTACTACATTCTTTGGTACCTTCTTTTAAAGGACTAAAGAAGTTCTGGCTCTGATTTATTGAGTATGTCTGCCAAGTGTTATAAATCTTTATGTAGTTTATTAAATATACAGTATGTGTTTTTTATGCTATTTGCTTATAAGATTTTTCTTCCTAACAAGACTTAATACTATCCCTGTGCAGGTTCTCACAGTATTATGTAACGTAGCTGACCTTGGACCTGCCTACTGCCAAAGTCTTCAAGAGAAAGCCATTCTCTCCAGGGTAATCCCATTACTTGAGACAGCTGATGTCCAGGTGATACTTTGCTGCTTGGAGCTAATGATCATTCTTCTACAGCACTGTCCAGAGGTAATTAGACCAGCTGCGATTTCTCCTGCGCTCTAGGGCCCAAATAGATGGAACCAACACCAGAGCAAGCGACCACCAGTATATTTCAAGGTTGTGCAGCTCCAAAACAGGGCTGGGGAAGCCCGATCAATACTGCAAAGTGAAACAAAAACAAGAAGCGCACCAACCATCAGTGTATACTGAGTGTCTACCCGCATGATGGGATTCGCGCTGGCTTCTTATCTTTGAAGTCCCTTTGAGGACTACGTGCCTGATTGTATTCGCTGTTTGTGAGTACCTATCTTTTATTAATAAATTCTGTTACTGAGGTAATGCGCAAGGTTGGTGCGCTTCTTGTTTTTTGTTTCACTTTGCAGAGGTAATTAGATACTTATTGGTATGCTCATGTTTTTGTGAAATTCAGTATTTGGGTCAGTTGGGGAGATTTACATGTACAAGTACTGACGGAGCAACGTCCTTTATTATTCTCACATTTCACAGTAAGTACACACTTGTAAATGATGTGTACATTAGAGAAGAATTATATTAGAAATTGATGCAAAGGATAATGAAAGCACACAAAATGCACAAATAGCAAGAAAAAAAAAAAAAAGCTGCATCACTCTTCCCTTCCCAATAATGTCTATTTTAAATCATTAGTAATGCAGACGGTAAATGCCGCCAAACTGTGCATCACAGTGCAATCAGGCCTGACCCACATGCCATCCGTGTCAGAATGGTTTGTCTGCCTACTTAAAATTTGCAGAGATGGAAAAAATGAATCTGCATTTCACATGACTTCCCCTCTAAATTTACACCCACCTTGAGCTGCTGGCTCCACATACAAATGACTAATGGTCCTACCCTGTTAACCACTTTTCGCCATTAGCACTGTGTTTGACTGTTTTCCCCTGTATAGCTACTCTGGACCCTGGCCTGCCGAGACCTCTCTTTTGCCCAAGGGGGCAAGACTGGGAGAATCTGTGCTGGAGAAGTCTGTCAGTGTGCCTCTCTCATCTCCCATATTTTCCTCTTCCTGGCTATTTGGCTGCTAGAACTATTGGCCTGTCAGTGGTCTAAGAGTCTCCCTGTTTTCCTTATCCATTTTTTTTCTCTGCTGTACAAAAGAGATGCTGTATGTATCTTTGTAACTGCTGCCAATAGGTTGTACCAGTTGCATGTGCAAGTCTCTGGGGTTGAATTTATTAAACCTGGAGAGTGCAAAATCTGGTGCAGCTGTCCATGGTAGCCATTCAGCTTGTTCAATTAAGCTTTGGAAGAAAAAAAAAAAACAAAAAAACACACACACTAGAAGTTGATTGGTTTATATGCAGAGCTGCACCAGATTTTGCACTCTCCAGTCTTAGTAAATCGGCCCCTCTGTATATTTCTGTCAGACCAGAGAGTCTCTGGAGGGTTTGTACAAAAAAAACTCCAAAATGTAGCAGTAAGATGCAGCAAATTGGCCATGGTGTACACTTGATTTTGCCAAGTGGTTCACTAATTATATGAGTTTTAGGCAGGACTGGGAATGTTTACTGCAGTCTCCAATCAGTTTTAAGATCTTACTGGTATAGCCCTTTCCGCATAGAAGAAAAGTCTAACAGTAACTATTCCTAAAAATGTTCTCTCCCACACCTTCACCTATTGTGCTTAACCTGTGTACTTACTTTTTTTTTTTAAATCTGGTTCAGTTTCATGATTCTGCAACACTGGCTCTTCTGTGTAAGTGAGTGCTTAATAATGGTTAATTCTAGGAGCTGTGATATCACCCATAGGTTTCCATGACCCAGTTGTCAGCGCTCCCTTGCAGCAGCTGCTTACTGACACAGGGGAGCTAGAGCTGCAGGTACACTTGATTGGACTGGTTTAAGTGTTAAGTTTTTCTTCCACCTTAAACACACAGTCAGGCATAAATGGCTTTACAAAAAGTGCTGGATGCTCCTTCATTCTCTTCAACCTTATGGGCTTCCTCAACTAGATTGCTTTCATGACCATTAAAGACATGGTTTGCTAATGAAAGTTACTGAAGTCTGATAATTCCAAAATTTGCCTAAATAACTTGTTTTCTTTAAGGTGGCAAAAGACTCCCAGATGCTTTCTGGATTACAAATTCTAGAAGCCTATAAAGATCATCCTGAAACTAATCAACATATACAAGCAGTCTGGAACTACTGCAATTCAGCGGTGAGTGTGTAGTTTTCCAGCAACATAACTCTGCTGCACCTCTTCATGTGTTTTTAAAGGAAGCATTGTTGATTTATTCTTCCAACAATACTATTTTATTGGCTGTCATGTTGATGCAGTGGCTTCAGTTTTTTTCTAAGTTACTGATCTGAAATAAGTATGCAGGAGAGGAGTTCTGCATGCTTATGCCAGGTCAGAGTATTAAAGTCTCTCACTGCTCTGGAGCAAGTATCGGGTCGGCTGCCTCAATTCCTCTTTAGCGCATGCTTGTTCCAGGTCAGTGGAGTAAGTATATTTCTGTAAATGAAAAAAATGTGGTGCATGATCTTATCATAAATAGAAACGTAAGCTTTAGAAACACAAAGTGATAGTCCAAGAAAATTTTTTTTTCCAATAATAAAATGTCCAATATATGTTGTGTTATCATCCAGCAATAATCAACACCATGATTAACTTGTGGCCCCACTCCCTGCTCACCTTGACCACTGACCTACCGATTAAAAGCCAAAAACTCACTTTATAAGGAAAATGTGTCTCCAAATTTCTGATAGGTGACGTGTTCCTTCCACGTCTTATGCTTCTTTAAACTCCAGATCCGTGCAAAATAAAACAAAAACATACCATAGTGCAACACCGGTTTATATAACGAAAAATTAAAACGTGTTACGTTATCCACGCACATTAAACAAATATGTAACTCCGAATTATAGTGAACATATATGCTTTACTCCACCGTGCCGACTATATTGTGATGTTTCCCATCAGCGGGTAGGTGCACCATGCACTCACCTTCTTCCCTGACCTAACCAATAGGTCATACATGCTTAGGGATGAAACCAAATTCTGCTTATCCACTGCCGATACTTAGTGGCTACTTCATTAGTTCTGGCCCTTTAAGGGAACATGCTCTCAGATATCCAATGGAATTAAGGTGTATATGATCAAATATAAAAGAGAATAGATCATAGTGCAACCTCAAAATATGAAACACTTTTGATATTTGTCTATGATATTTCTATCATTACAGGATTTTAGAAAGATGCAAACATGATTGTGACCACTCCAAGCATTATCACAGAGGGTTTTTTTTTTTTACTACTAGGATTTCCAATAATTTGAAGCTATTGAGTAGAATTAATCAAACTGGAGCAGTTGTGTGACAACAGATCGGCTTCTTTCATTGTCAAAGCTTAACTAAACAAGCTGATTGGTTGCCACGCATAACAACTCCAAATTCTCGCAATTCTCTGTGAACCTTCCCCCCCCTTATTTGTCGTACTCCAATCCACCAATCACAGGCAAAATAATAGGACATGAAGACAAGCAACTGTGGTAGGAGAGAATCCTTTTGTTTTGCTACATTGATGTATCCCAGACAATTGAGAGATCTATCTATGCTTTTTTTTTTTTGTATAGTAATCCACATTAAATTTCAGTCTAGTGAAAATGTAGGAAAGAGCTTGTAGATTAAAGTGGAGCTCCACCCAAAAGGGGAAGTTCTGCTTTAAGCCTTCATCCCCCGCTCCCCACTAAGAATTAGGATAGCACAGTGGCTAAATGGTTAGCACTTCCGCCTGGCAGTAATAGGGTCGTTGGTTCGAATCCCAGCCACGGCACCACCTGCCTGGAGTTTGTATGTTCTCCCTGTGTCTGCGTGGGTTTCCTCCAGGTACTCCGGTTTCCCCCCACACTCCAAAGACATGCTGGTAGGCTAATTGGCTCCTGTCTAAATTGGCCCTAGTATGTGTATGTATGAATGTAAGTTAGGAACCTTAGATTGTACACCCCTTGAGGGTTAGGGAATGATGTGAATGTACAATATATGTATGTAAAAGCGCTGCGTAAATTGACGGTGCTATATAAGTACCTGAAATAAATAAGGATTGGCACTTTTGGGAAGCGGGGGGGAAGTTGGGGAGCTACCCACCTCCACTGCGATCGCCTAGGCGATCGGAAGTTTTCCTCCCCCCTCGCTCCCCGTAGTCTTCTGGGACACGTGACAGGTCCCAGAAACCTACGGGGCCATTCACAAAGTGCAGCACTTCTCGGGCATGCGCAGTGGGCACCTGGCTGTGAAGCTGCAAGCGGTCACAGCCGGGTGCCCACACTGAAGATGCTGGCGCCAGGGAGAGAAGACGTCCGGTGAAACCAGTGCTGGACCGAGAGACAGGTAAGTGTCTGTATTTTAAAAGTCAGCAGCTACAGTTTTTGTAGCTGCTGACTTATTTTTTTTCCTTTTCAGGTGGAATTCTGCTTTAACCACAAAGTATTTTCAATGCCTTTAAAAGATGCATTTTGCCATACTTTATCTTCTTACAGAGAAGAAACATATATTCAAAAGAAATTGCCACAAGTCAGTTAGACATTTGAAATATATTTGTGTGAAATTTTCTTCCCTGCAGATCAAAGAACACAGTGCAGAAGGACATAAAGCTATGGAGTGAACAAAAAGGAGGACTTTAGAATATTTTTTATTATTGTCATTTGTTCAAGATGCATTTATATTTTTCTAATAAAGTTAAAGATGGTTCAATGCAGCGTTTGATTTCTGTGATGTGATTGATATAATACAGTCCAAAATGCAAAGTATTTTTACCATGGAGTCCATCAGGGTAAACTGTATCCATTAGTATGATTAAATGGGATGCTTTATGGCTTGCTGTTCGCAACAGACTCTAAGGCTTTGGCTACTTGTTCAGCCTTTAGATTATTAAGGGAGACGCTCACCTCCTTTCCAAATTCTGCAAATAGAAAATTGTATATGTTATACCAAAAAGCATTAAATTGCTTACACTACAATTAGAATATGATGTCACGGTGTGCACAGACAGTACCCAGTGCCATTCAGAAGGATAACGCTTTTTCTAATGATGGCTCAAAAGTACCCACTAAACTGGCAGAGACAATGCCCATGGAGTTTAGTGAAATCGGCAGCACGGAGGGAACTTGATTCTGTATATTAAACACAATGTAGTGCTGTTGAGACAGTACACTGTAAAAGACCATACATGCAGAACCAAAACATAACTGATTGCAAACAGATTTTCCTTGAACAGCCATGAAAATTTATCAACTGGTATCATTTCCAGTATTATGAATGGGACTGATAAATACAGGTGTTATAGCAACTAAGGATGTTTTAAAATATATGTTGATGCATTGTGCATTTTTGACCACATGAATGCAAATCCAGTATGCAGTTACTCTAATGCTGACCATACAACAAAAATACCCTGCCATATATAATTACAAAGGCTGTGATATTTATAAAACCGCTTTAGTCCTTCAAAAAATACAATGAATAAGAGGTCCAAACTCTAGTAACCATACTATTTTGTAAAACCCTTTAGTAGCTACTGAGCTTATTCCCCCCCCCCCCCCCCCCCCCCCCCCCCGGCCTGAGAACTGTAATTCCAGCTTCTAGCAGCGCCATCTGCCGGTTAAATGTGGAATTGTAGCACCTCCATTTAGCTTCATTGGATTAATGCTAGCCAAAAAAAAAAAAAAAAAATCACATGTTTACTAGAAATATAGGCATGAGCTAGATTTCTGAAAGTGTTTTGCTCAAGAATTACACATAAATTTAAACTGTTAGCATGCCTAAGGGTTTGTTGATGCTATGGTGTAATGAAGGAGACATGTTGATAATTCTAACCAGGGGCTTTTTTTTTTTTCCAGCAGGAACGCAGTTCCAGCACTGAATGTATGTAATGGCAAGGAGGGTGCTGGGATGTGCTAGGTGGTCTATTGATGCTGGCTTCTGGGGGATCTATTGTTATTGGAGAGGATCTATTTTTGCATGGTGGTCTGTTGTTGCTGGGAAGTCCATTGTTGCTAGTGGGGGATCTGTTGTTGCATCTAGGTTTTGTACTGCCCTAGGCAACACAAATCGGCCGCCCAAACCTTTACCGCGGAGAGAGCCTGACACTGACCAACACCCCCCACTATGGAGAGAGCATAACACTGACCGAATATGGATGCAGAAGCGCTGGGAGAGTTCTGAAGTGGCCGCAATGTGCCCAGATCTAAAATCCCATATAACCCCCCCCCCCCCCCCAAAAGGAGAGAGTCTGACACTGACCAATACAACACCCCTCCCCCCCCAACCTGCAACCCATCCCCCCCAAAGGAGAGAGCCTGACACTAACCAACACCAACCCCCCCAGCTAAAGAGAGCCTTCCACTACCACCTCCTCCCCCATTCACCCGCTGCCACCCCCCACCCATCCTTGGCAAGAGGGAGAAACTCATAGAGACTCACCTTCACAGCTCCGGACATCCCTGGGAATGAAAGTCAGGCTCTGCATACACCGTCAAGCAGCGCACAGGATCTCTTGGATCCCACCTGGTCCCCATGCGGTGTGTGTTCATTTTTCCAGGGTGCATTGCTGCCCCCCCTGAAAAATGCCACCCTAGGCAAATTCCTTGTGTACCTTGTGGTAAATACGTCTGTTGTTGCTGGCTGCTGGAGAGTCTATTGATGTTGGCTGCTGGGGGTCTGTTATTGCTGGGGTGGTATTTTGTTGCAGAGGTTCATTATTACTGGGAGAATCTATTGTTGCTGGGAAGGGGGGCCTATTGCTGCTGGCCACGGTAGATCTATTTTACTGCTTTTGTTAGCAATAACAAATTCCATACAAATTACTTAACACTACAAAATTATACTTGGCTCTGTATTCTCTAAAAGGGATGGTAATGGGAGATGGGTAGAGGGTGAAACCAAGGGACAGTGCTTGGAGGTGGGTAGGGGGCGGAGACAAGTAACTCAGAAGGGGGGCGCGAGTTCCTGCACCTATTCTCTTACAATCAGGGCTGTTTTTTTTTTTTTTTTTTTTTTTATTAAAGGCCAGGAAATCTCTGGGACACAGCAGGAGCTGGGAAATATTTTATGACCTTTCTGGTCGTTATTTATCCCAGTTGACAGCCTCTGTCAGTGCCCAAAGCCAAAAGGTTGTTGCCTAATCATGACTGAGAAGACAGCAATCATCTCACTTGAGATGATATGAGCTCTCCAGTCACTTTTGCAACAGTTCTTTTCTTTGGTCTCTTTTGATCAGTTGACCATGTCGACCACACATATGCTTATCAGACAACATTTTTCCAGAAACTATATGCCATCACAACCTTTGATACTGTACCTAGCGACAGCTAGGTGTCATCACACAGTGGTAGCAAAAGAATGTTACATCTTTTTCGCTTTCACAGCAAAACATATTGCGTTCACACCTGCAAATCCTGTGTTTCTATTTTTTTGTCCAACCCCTGTACATGGCAGAGACCTTCTGCATGTCTGAGCAAGATCGAATCTGAACGATACTTCAGTCTTGAGTGAAACACTAAACCTAGGAAGGGGCGATCTTTTTCCACCATTGCCTAGGTTAGGAATCAGGAGGCAGTGGGATGCAACAAATTAAAAGGTATTATGAAAAGAAGTCCATATTATGAGTGAAGGCTCACTTTAAACTGTGTTCACTTCACTTCATAAAGCAAATTCCTGTTCATTTCATTTGCATGTGGATAGGTTTTAAAAGTGAACAGAGTTACAGAGTTACAATTTATTGAGAGAAGATTTTGAACCCCTGTAGTAAACAAATCCCAGCGTCTTTCATTTTTTTCTTGCAGTCCATGATGTCAGCCTAATGAATGGCAGCAATTGTTTTGAAACTGCAGCTAAATAAGCAGGAACTATAATCCTTCATAAGTAGGCCTGTAAAGCCAACATAAAAAGTAGCATTCGTTTAAAAAGTATTCTTAATATTTCTCTAGATCTCTCTAGCCCTTTTCCTTCACATAGGAAGGAATGATCAATAAACTCCTATGGCACAAAACAATCACAAACCATGTTCACAATCAAATACTTGTAGATATTGGGCCACATGAGCACTTTTATCCAATATTTCTCAATCATTGAATGGCACTATATGCAAATTATTTTGACAATCTGTAAACGTGTAATTAGATGATAAAAGCGTTTAGTCCCTTTAAAAAAGGAAAAGCATAAGGGTTTTCTATGGAAAGCAGAACTTGTAGAATTACTCAGTGTTTTTAAAGTTATCAAACACTTACCATATCGTGCCCATAGTTTAGGCTGAACCTCTGAGCATTCTCTGATTAATATGGGAAAGTCTGGATTAGCCTTTTTCAGCTCCACATAGTTCTGTTCAATAAAGTCTCTGAAGAAAGAAAGGAGCATTTCAGTTCAAGGATATCGAATCTCTGGTAACACAAAAAATATAACTTTAAAAAAAAATGCTGAAAAAGCAAAACAGTACTATGGCTGAATAAGTTATGTGTATTTTATGTGTGTTAATGCAAACCCCTAATGTTCCTGTTATTACAAAGGTTGCTGTTCCTGCGCCAAGTCAAATGCATACCTGTACTGACTGCAACCAACAGTACTCACTGGTTCAAATGTGACGAAGAAAAAAGGTTTTAAAAATAAATATGCTTTGAACACATGTGTACAGCAGACATGTCAGCTATGCCTAGAAAAGGAGGAAACATGCACAAGTCTTACAAGGGCCAGAACTATCTTACGAATGAGAAAACAAATTATTTTGGTAAGACAGGAAAACAATCACATTTTCAAGGATACTCTGCAAACTCTACAAGTAAAAATGTATTTATGGCCCCTTCATACTATGGGAGAGATTTACTAACCCTGGAGCACTCACAATCTGTTGTAACGGTGTATAATAGCCAATCCATTTCTAACTTCAGCTTGTTCAATTAAAAGGATAAGTTCACCTTTTGGACAAAAATAATAAATGCACTTTTTTGCAGGTAAAAAAATGTGCATTTATTATTTTTGTCCAAAGCAGCCTGTAAAGCATTGCACCAGCGATCAGTAGATTGCTGATGCGATGCAGGTCTCCTGCAGACCTGTCAGAATATCTGCTTGCCATACGGTATATACAAGCAAGCAGATATTGACAGGAAGCTTCAATGAACTACCACGGCGCTCCACAGTGCTGTTGTAGTTCATTGAAAACTACAAGCCGACAGCCGCTAAGGCTGCTGGGACTTGTAGGCATTAATTCAGAGAACTCTGGATGAGTGACATGGCTGTGTGGTTGGGGCTACGCTGTTTTCAAATCTGACATAGTATGGGCGGCAGACGCGGCTATAGGAACATGTAACGTGTTCCCAAAGGTGAACTTTAAGCTCAGGAGCCAGCTGCCTCTTCCTGGTTCTTGCAGCCGGGTCCCCCCGATGATGCACAGTAGTGCAGGCCCTGTAGTCTACCGTGAGGCCTCCTGGGATACGTGATGCAAGCATCCCAGGAGGCTGCGATCTCACCTAAACTAGATTCCTGGAAGTGCGGAGAGGGAGTATTTTAAATAAAATAAATGTGCAATTGTATGAAATGAGGTGGGTAGGGGTCAATAGTAGAAAGTGGGTGAGGAAAGTAATGATTAGCTTTGATAATACCATTTTTGTACTTATTTTCTCTGAATTCATTGTGAGACATTCTGCTACCTGGGAATGAAACAAGGTAGAGAAATGGTTACACACCACCGTCTGACTGTTAATTTATTCCATCAAATATCAAAAAGACAGCACACTGACAAAGAGGATACAAAGTAGCTGTTGGCGTGTTTCACACAATGCCTTGCTTACTAATAACTGTTTATGAGTAAGCACAGCAATGTGTGAAACGCGTCAACAGCTATTCTGTATCCTCAGTGTTGGTGTGCTGTCTTTTTGATATTTTATGGAATAAATTAATGAACAGTCCGATGGTGGTGTGCAGCCATTTATCTACCTTGTTCCAGTGTGTACTTTGGTGAGCACCTGCATGGGAGGACTGTGAAGGGCTTATAGTGCCTAACTTGAAGTGGTGTTTCTTTTCATTTGATTCCCCAGGAATGGACTGAGATTATATTTGAAAAGACTGACAAAACAAATTTTGAACCCAGGAGATGTAAATATAACTGACCCAGAAGTCAGTGTAAGACAGAAGCCTTTGTTTAATTATTTTTACTGACGTTTTAAGTTAAAACACAAGGAATAAAAGAGAACATAGACAGGGTTACGGTATACCAGATATAATGCCATCCAATGTAACGTAGATATGCACAATATCAATTAGCTCTTTTGTATTATTGTGAAGTAGTGCGCAAAAGTATCCATGGACAGAAGGAAAGCATAGAAGTGAGGAAAAATAGGTGAGGGGTAGGGGGATTTTTAGCACAGTCTAAAGTTCAAGAGGCAGCAGTCAAAATTTGGGGGAGGTAACATTCGATTGAGGGGGACCACACCTTCACAAAGGGTCATTTTTCATCATTCAGAAACATTGCACATAATCCATGTTTCTCTGGATATAAGCTCTTGTGGATCTAAGTTATAGGAGTTCCAGTTTTGCCATGAAGAATGTCATTAGTTTAAACGGAGAATGCTGGATTCCGAATGTTGCTTAAGGTGTAATGCGTCTGTGGGTACTCATTGAAATGTTGTTGGAAAAGCATATTTGGCATACCCTAGGTCAGCCTCTCTTAACCCTTTTACCCCAGAGGAACCCATAAAATACCTTTCAGTTCTCAGGGAACCCCAACTAAAACCAATTCAGATGGTTAGTTGGAAGAATGCAACACTTAGAGTGGTAGGCAGAATACCATCCTTACAGATAGCTAAAAAGAGAATTTATGTCATGCTGCTGGCTTTGCTAATTGGCACTGATCCTGATATTATGCAAGCGCTATCAAATGGGAAGTCAATTGACCACAACTCAAGTCACCTCTAGGGTTCCACAAAACCTGATTGAGAATGGCTGCTCTAGGAATTCAGACAAAGCGCACGCCAGCAGGTATGTCCACCAAATCTGTTAAAATGTGCCAATTTCATCACATTCCAGGAAACATTGTAGGGAGGGGGGGAAAGATTTTAGGAAAATAACTGCCGAGAGCAATTTAAAGTATGATTCTATTGAGGGAGATGAAATTTTGTCATTCGCTAAATTTGGGATCCAGTCTTCCACTTCTAGATGCTGACCAAGTTCTTTCTCCTATTTCAAGGCATATGTAGGAAGAGTAATTCTTAAAAATGTCATCCAGTGTTGCACTAAAGAGATGACCACCAGCAAAGAGCATATTTGTTAAAACTATTCACAGGCTAAACACAGTCTGTGTGAATATCATAGAAGAGGAAGAGGCACAACACCATTTCTATTTTATGTAATAGACACTATGCCAATGTGGCCAGTAGCTGCTCAGTGGGGTTTACACACCTCTACTTCATTACTATAAAATGAGGTTTTTTAAAAAAAATCGCAACATTTAAAAAATGTAAACATAACTACCTGGAGTTGGGCTTTAAGCCAACCAACTGAGCTGCCTGGGTTCGTTTTTGGTGCACATACTCCTGTAAATGGCAGTATAACCTACTTGTACAGTAAATGGTTAAAGGATAAGTTCACCTTTGGGAACATGTAACATGTTCCCATAGTTGCAGCCCTGACAAGTCAGGCTCAGATTTAAGAAAAAAAAAAAAAAGTCCTGCATCTTTTTTGGTGTGGATGCGATGTAAATTGAGCCATACAAAATGTATGGCTCAAATCGCACCGCACAGACATTTGCATGTAATTTGCACAGGAAAGTGGTGCGATTCCTGTGGAAATTACATGCAATGTCCCACACCGCATAGTGTGAACCCAGGCGAAGGCTTTTTTCCTTTATATTCACCTGGTGACACAGCAAGTAAGTCTGTTATTTTTCAAATTCTTTTAACAGACCAAGCTGTCCAGACAAAGTAGAAGCTAGAGGGTTGAGACACAAATTAAGGAAGGACTGAACCCACTGATTGAACAGTTTCAAAAAACAGTTACATTCCCGGAATGTAAAGTACTGTGCAAAAGTTATAGGAAGTTATGAAAAAAATGCTGTAAATGAAGAATGCTTTCAGAAATAGAAGTTTTAATAGTTTATTTTTATCAGTTAACTAAATGAACAGATATCAAATCCATATTTGGTGTGACTACCCTTTGCCTTCAAAGACAGCATCAATTCTTCTAGGTACACACACACGGTTTTTCAAGGAACTTAGCAGGTACAGTGGTATAAAAAGTCTACATGCCCCTGTTAAAATGTCTGGTTTCTGTGATGTAAAAAAGACAAATAATTTCATAACTTTTTCCACCTTTAATGTGACCTATAAACTGTACAACTCAATTGAAAAACAATCTAAAATCTTTGGGGGGGGGGGGGGTGGAGTAAACATAAAACAACTAAAATAATGTGGTTGCATAAGTGTGCACACCCTCTTATAACAGGGGATGTAGGCTGCTTTCACAGTGAGGAGTTTTTGAAGCATTTTTGCGTAAAAAAAAAACCAAACAAAAAAAAAACCCTGAAAAGCTCAAGAAAACTGCTTCCTTGTGTATGTGAATGTATATCTATGCAAGTTTTCACACTGAGGCGATGCACTTGTGGTGTAAAAACATCTTTGAGGCATGTTTGGGGAGTTGCAAAAAAAAAAAAAAAAGCCTCAAAAACACATCTTCCCATTGAAATACATGGTAAGCGCCCCAAAAACACACCGCACATGTGGAAGATCTGGCTGTTTTTTCAGCTGTCAGCAGGGTTCGCCACTGACAGCTGAAATGTAAAAGAAAGAACTGTCGGCAAATAAAAATTAAAAACTGGCATGGGGTCCCCCCCTCCATCCATACCAAGCTCTTTGGGTCTGGTATGGATTTTGAGAGGAACCCCCATCATAGAAAAAAAAAAAAAAATGGCATGGGGTCCCCCCAAAATCCATACCAGACCCTTATCCAAGCATGCAGGCCAGCAGGTCAGGAAAATGAGCGAGTGTTCTATTAAAAGAAGGAAAATAAAAGAATGTCCCCCAAAGTAGATGCAACGTCAATCACGATGCCTGCAGCCGATGACTGCTCCGCTGGCTTAATAGTTCTTAAATAAGTAAGGGGCGGGGCCACCCAGTGACATCATCCACGTGACCCCGCCCCGTGCAACATCATCGACCGGGGCATATTGGGTCAATGATGTCACATGGGGGCAGGCTCACATACGTGATGGCCCCACCCTTTACATATTGACAGCAATTCTTTCTTTTACATTCAGCTGTCAGTGGGGAACCCCGCTGAGAGCTGAAACATTAACGCATGATTTTCACTATCATGACTTGATAAAATAACTCATGCGGTATTTTAGCAGCGTTTTTTAGTGAATTAAAATG